GCAGTGGCACATGCACATGTGAGCCTGGGTGACTTGGCAAGACCCAGTCTCAAAATAAAATTTAAAAAACAAAAACAAAAAAACAGGCAGGGGTCAGCCGTGGTGGCACATGCCTGTAATCCCAGTGGAGGCTGAGACTGGAGGATCTCGAGTTCAAAACCAGCCTCAGCAACATCGAGGTGCTAAGCAACTTAGTGAGACCCTGTCTCTAAATATTAAAGTACAAACTAGGGATGGGGATGTGGCTCAGTAGTCAAGTGCTATCCTAGGTTAGTTCAATGCTAGGTTACCCACCACCACCAAAAAAAGAAAAAAAACTGTGATATTACTAGAATCATGAAAGAAATGAATAGGGATCTAAATTTATTTAATTCCATATTGCTAACAATTTGTATCCAAGCCCTTATGAAGACTGCTCTTTCAACAAATACTATGCACTACTTCTACTAAGGAGGCATGGGGACCATGAAACTTCACCATGCCTGATGGAGTTGGAGGATTTACCCAATCACACAGAACATTAACTTGGGAGTCCATGAGGACATAAGAACTAAAAATGAAAAGCAACCAGACAGAAATGCCCTCAGCGTTCTGCCATCAAACCTCCAGAGTCACCAGCAAAAACACCATCCTTTCATTTTAGGTACAACCCCAGAGCCCTCCTCCTGAGGCCAATTGTTCTTCCTGTGTTCTGTTTCTTGGTTCTGTCCATATTCTCTTCTCATTCTTTCTTCTGTACATCAATCTCTCCTGTCTACTGCAATTAGTGCTTACCTTTCCCCCATCCTTCACATCCAAACTTCTTCAAAGATTCCCACTTCACTTTCCTCAACATTTACCTTCACTCCATTGAAATTGTTCTGGCAAAGATCACTGAGACTTTTGCCATTGAGTCCAACCAATGGGCTGGTCAGGGGCGATGCGATATAGAGGATTCATACTTTTCATCGGGTTCCTTTTCCCCACTAACTGAATTTTTTATTTCCATGTAAATATTTTGCTTTTAAAATAATCCTTGTCATCACCTCCATATTAATATGCCCCTCTGTGATATTATTTATTCTGCTTGTTGTATTGTTTACTTAACATCTATCTCCTGAGGGCAGGACCAGATCTCTTGGTCATCCTTTTATCTCCAGAAATACAATCATAAGCAGTTTTCTTTTTTTGGTGGGTGGGGGTGGGGTGGGGATAGGGTACCAGGGATTGAACCCAGGGAACTCAATTACTGAGCCACATACCTAGCCTTTTTTTTTTAATATTTATTTTTTAGTTTTCAGTGGACTATTTTATTTTTATGTGGTGCTGAGGATCTGAACCCAGCGCCCCGCGCATGCCAGGCGAGCGCGTTACCACTTGAGCCACATCCCCAGCCCCCATACCTAGCCCTTTTTATTTTTCATTTTGAGACAGGATCTCACTAAATCTTTTAGGGCCTAAGTTGTTGAGACTGACTTGAACTTGTGATTCTTCTGCCTCGGTCAGCCGTCTGAGTCACGGGGATTATAGGTGAACACCACCATGCCCAGCTCTTAAGCAGTTTTCAATCCTCCTCTTCCTTGAAAGTTCAGAGCAGTCAACACCATGGATCTGTCTTGAGACTCTTTTTGGGTTCCATGTCACTGTAGTCCTCTGTGACCTCTTCTTAGTGAAGCTCTTTTCTGTCAATGTTTTCTATGATGGCTTCCTCAAGTTCTGTCCCCCTTTCCTCACCATATACTGTTTATATGAAGATTTCATGGATGCCCATGTCCTCCATCACAACTGAGATGATGATGACCCCCCATCTCTGGCCTTTCTCCTGAGTTCTAGATCCTGTAGATCCATAGTATCCTCAGAAATCTCTACTTGGATGACTGATGGCCTCTATAAGTATCATATTCAAAATCAAAGTCATCTTGTTCTTTTACAAACATTCCTTTTCCCACTAATCTCAGTAAGAGGAAATACCATCTATCCAGGAATCATTCTTGACTCCTCCTTCTTATGCTATTGATCCCACCCCCTCCCGGAAATATCTTTCTCAATAAATCACTTCTTCATCCCCAAGCCACCTTTATTTCTCACCTGGATTTCTACAGTGTCTATAACTAACCTCTCAAACATTTGCTAATACTCCATCTAGAGTGAGCCTTCAAAACCAAAACTGAATGTCATTGTTAGGTTTACAATACTTCATGGCTCTCCATTATCTTGTGGTTATCCAAATTCCAGTTACAGAGCCCTCATGATCTGTGATCTGTCCCCTAATGACTGCCCAGCCTCATTTTCCACATCTTCTTCCCATGATTATCCCTCCTGTGGACTTTTAGGACATGCCACTGGCTCCTGTTCCCCAGGCCTTTTGTACTTATTGTACCTTTCACCTGGCACTCTTCTTACCCTCTCCTGCCCCACCACATCTGCTGGGCTGGCTTCTCATCCTTCAATCATCAGTTCAAAAGTCACTTTCCCACAAGGACTTCCCTTTATCCTATACTCAGTTCCTCTACTGTGTGCTCCCTTGCTGTGCATTTCACCAGTCACAATGTTTATCCCGCTTAGTTGTGATGGAAGCCGTGGGTATCAATGAAATACTTCTAAGAAACAGTATATGGTAAGGAAAGGGGAACAGAACTTTGAGGAAGCCATCATAGAAAGCATAGGCAGAAGGGGGCTTCACCAAAAGAGGATAATACAGTGATATAGGACCCAAAAAGGACTTACCTCAAGGACAGACAGGACCATGATGTTGATCTATCTCCTAAAGGCAGGATGAAGGCTCTCAGTGCACTGGGTATGTGTTCAATAGATAAGAGGAAGATATGGTCTTTGACCTCAGTTACCAGCCTACCAAAAGTACAAACACTGAAAGAACTCATTAGAACACAATGACGTTAAATGCTATGATAGTCATGTAGATGCTGGAGGGTATACAGATGTGAATGTCTGTATGTGAAGGACCAAAGGAACTCAGCTTTCTGGGTTATTCAAGAAAGGTGACATTTGAACTGGCTTATAACTCATTCCATTCATTCAGTGGAAAAGTGGATACTACTTGGTGCCAAGCACCACTGCAGGCACTGAGGATACAGCAGAAAATAAGGCAGACTGTCCCTTCCTTCTTGGATCTTATTTTAATAGGGTTATGCAGAAACAGATATTAAACAATTTCAGATAATGATACATGCCTTGAAACACTATCATTGTAAAACACTGTAGCTGCTCACCAGGATGGGAGTGGAAATGTGTGTGTATCAGATCTCCCTATATAGGTGTCATTTAATTATATCTTGAATGAGGGGATAGAGCCAGCCTTTGGAATACTTGTTGGATGAATGTTCTAGGCAGAGGGAACAATGAGACACCTTGGTTCAAAGGACAGAAATAAGGCCAGTGTGGCAGAAATACAATGAGTATTTTTATCTCCAGCCTATATCTTGTCCCTGAATTCCTGAGTCACAGAGCTAACTACCAAATGAAAATCACTACTGGGATGTCTAACAGGCATCTCAACCTTCATATGTCCAAAACTAACCTAATTTCTTCCCTTCGCCCTGCTCCTTCACACTTCAATAAGAATAATTCTATCATTTCAGTTGCCCAAGTTAAAAACCTGGGAATCATACTTACCTCTGCCCCACAGTCAACCCATTAACAAATTTTATTGGCTCTACCTTCAAAATATATCTAGAATCTGTTTCCCACCACTTCCACTGCTACTACCCTAGTCAGTGCTAAAGCTTTGGATAGTATTCTTTGTACAAAGAATCACTGAAGGTTTCTAGCACTGAGAAGAAACAAGTGCCTCTAGTGATATGTTAGAGTTAGCTCAATTAGCTCACAAGAGCCAAGTGGTAAATTTTTGCAAATGTTGCAAGATGGATTATATCACATTGATAGGAGGGAATATTTATACCACAGATATTGATTGGCAAAAGCTGCAAATCAGAACTTCTCGCCAATTCGGGGATATGCGTATTCAACACCTTCCAGCACCCAATTGCCTGTGCAAATCTTTATTACAGAAAAATAACTGATTGGTGCCATGTGGTTCTCTACAGGTGTGTATGTTTTTGACTGTATTAGAATCACCTGAACTTTTTCTACCATATAGCTGCTTAACTGCCTACCTGCCTGTCTCCACTCAGTTAAGGACTACCAGATTAGAACTGCTTGTTAAGAGGTTACTGATAGTGCTGCAGATGAGAAATGAAGACACCAATCATAAGAAAGGAGAATTTTAGAAATACCTAGTTAAAATCATGAATGGGCTTTGTCATTCACTCAGAGAACTATATTCCTTTCTTTCATCTTGGTTCTTAGTAATTACAGACACCAGCACACAATTGCCTGTGAAAATCAAAAGACTCTGATTCTTTTGTTAGCCATCTGTCTTCCTCTCTAGATGGTGCATTACTGAAGGTCACTAAATCTTCACATCTGAGACCAATGCCTCAACACCCAACTATAAGACCTTCGTAAAGAGATGTTAAATGAAGAATGCAGAACAATGAAGCCAAGTGAATTGGCACATGTCTGTAATCCCAGAGATTCATAGGCTAGGAAGGAAGATTGCAAGTTCAAGTAGCCTTCAGTTCAACTAGCCTCAGCAACTCAGCAACATCCTGTCTCAAAAATTAAAAACAAAAAGGACTACGGATGTAGCTCAGTGGTAAAGTGCCCCTGGGTTCAATCCCTGGTACCAAAAAAAAAAGAAAAGGCAGGACAATGAAAGAGGAAGAGTCAAGAACTGACACCCAGGTTTACAGCTTATGTGACAAAAAGGAGGAATGTGGCTGAGGGTACACTAACAGGAGGGGAGGATCTGGAAAATGTTGACTTGAAATACCTCTGAATAGTCAGACAATGACATCTAGCTAGCAGGGAAATGAGTCTTAAACTTTGGGTTCAGGCTCTAGGACAGACCTTCTCAACTAAACATGCAACACTACTACCTCCCTCCCTTAGAATGTGGATTGTCAATGAGGTAGTATCAACTTCCCTTCCTCAAGACTCACCCGAACCTCAGCCTCCCGGGGCCTTCCATTGAGGTCACACTTGGATCCGTTACCATAGGTCTGGCTGTGGTAGCGTTTCAGCCGATGCTGCTTGGAGGCCTGGAGAAGACATCAGGTGGTGGTGGGGGGGGACATAAGAAAGACAGCAAGGTGGAAAAAGGCACTCTGCCCCCACAGGGACTTTGAGAATCCAAGCCCTAGGGGACTTTGTCTTGATGGCTACCAAGCCCCAAGAAACACATCAGCTAATCCTCGCCTTGTCCCAAATGTCAGTCTGCAGTCAGACCCATCTCTCTCCCAACCCCACACTTCTCCCACCTTGGCTGTCTCATCATCCCAGTCGAAGGCCGATTGGTAGTAGCCGAGATAGAGGATGTCACCTTTGATCTCTGAATCTGCAAGAAAAACCACAATGAAGTATGTCATTCTCTCTCTCTCTCTCTTTAAATACTAGGGATCAAACCCAGGACCACATGCAAGTGCTCAGCCACTGAGCCACATCCCCAGCCCCATGTCATTCTCTCTTAAGAGGACAGAAAAACCATAACCAGGCTCAAAATAACATGGTGAGTGCTCAACAGGATAGGAAACAGTGTTGAGCATCCAGGTGAACATAGGCCTCGATTGTACAAGTTTTTCAGAGCACAGAAATTGTTCAATATCCGCATATGTTTAAGGATCTTATCCTTAGTAAATCTTGATAAAAATGAATGGAAAAAAAAAAGACTAGAAGAGAAGGAGACTGGGGAGGTAGGTCACCTTCTATATTAGGGTGCTGAGAACTTAGGGAAAATGTAGGAGTGATTCACCTTCCATGTGATACTGCTGGATGTGGCGTCCATAACAGAATTCATAGGTCCACCAGTCCTTGGTCTGACAATTAAAAAATGAAAAATCAGGGGGACAGAGTGCAGATCCCTTTTCTTAGAACCAGAATCTTCTGGCTTATCTACTTCTCTCCCTCTACTTCCACACTAATTTTTCAAGACTCTCAGTGAGCAGGGACAGCTGTTTTCTTTCCACGATTGGAGATATACCTCTAAAATCTGGCTGTTTTCCACCTGTAATCTTTCCATTTCTCCTGTTTTAACTTTTTTTAAATACTTCCCCCTCCTCGTAAAGAAAAGAAGTCATGGTATCCTAGAAGCATTCAGACCAGGGAAACAGAGAAGGCCCTAAAATCAAGTATTACTTGAACTTCTACCACATTTCTTACACTATTTTAGCCACTAGGGATACAGCTTTGACAAGATAAATTCCCTGACCTCATTAGTGCTAGTTTTCAGACCAACAATAAACAAACTGATTCATCTAATAAAATGACTTTGGATCACGAAGAATGATATGATGAAAATAAAGTAGGATACTGGGGCACAGGGTGATAGGATAGGTGGTAACTTATGTGGGCTTCTCTAATGAAGGGCCTGCCCGTTCTACCCACACTGACCTTCTTTAGGCACCTCAATCTTGATTTAACCTAGTTTGAGATATTTTATCCTCTCTTCTATATTTAGCAAAGTGTTATAGAGTCTTTGCTTCTTTCTTGTCTGGATTATTATGTCTAGTCCAACAAAAGCCTCAACTCCTACAGGTCCTCTAGATCCTGCTCCACTGTTCTCAGATGGACTGTTAGTTCCCAAGCCCTCGTTCCATTCATCCCAATTCTTTCACCTTCAGCAGGCAGGGAGCATCTCTCATTGGGCTCAACAACTCAGGGATCCCAGGCCCTTGGTAGGCAGGTGCCTCCTCCTCCCTTTCACGCTGGAAGTGAATAGCTCCAGCTGGCAGGCGACACTCGTAGCGCTGTTTGTACTTAGAAGAAACAATCACCACGTCCGAAGCCTGGGTCAGGGAAAGAAGGGAGGGTCGGAGACATGGAAGCAAAGAGAGGCTGGTATCAGAGAGAACAACGAGATCCCTCTTCAGACCCTGGGGAAGAGCCCAGTCGAAGACAAATCCTCCAGCTGTACTGGGGTATGTGTGTGTTGGGGGCGGGTGGAAGGATACTCCCACTTATCCACTGGGGCGGAGTCTCAGTGTTTTCTTGAGGAACTGGAACCTGAGGCCGACAGTAGGAAGCCCCACCCCTCCCATGCTGGGTCTCTGGGGGAATGCGTCTGCCTGAGATCCCCAGGTGTCACCGTAAAAGCCCTACCTACGCTTCCGGACTCCCTTAGTCTCCTACCCCAGATTCCGCAGCTGCCCTTTCTCCTCTACCTTTCCTCCTCTTTCTCTTCTCCCCAGGACCCTCGTCCCTTCTACGCCTCCTCACCTGCCCTCCCAAGACAGGCAACGGCAGGATCTGTATTCCATATCGCATTTCACTCAGTTCTTCCAGGTTCAGGCTCCCAACACCGCCTGTCAGGCTTGCAGGTAATATGAAACCCAGAAACAGCAGCCCCAACAGACTGGACAGCAGCGTTTCCGCCGCCATCTTTCGTTCCCTTTCTTATCCCGACACTCCTTCCGCCCTAAACCTGGCAGCAGCCTCACCGCGCCCATTAGCGCCGCAAGCTCTCATTGGCTGTATTTTCTGTCCCTCTTACGTATCCTATTCCCATTTGTAAACGTGGCCTCAAACCCTTCGGGGAGGTGGATCCAGACGATAAGCAAAATCAATTGCTGCGCATGATTGGTCAGAGAGATCAACCAATCATCAGCGAGGTTAAACCCCCACCCTCTCTATCAGTTTCAGAGAGGCGTGGCCTATGCTCTCTCTGGGTTCTTGTAAGCCATTTTTCTCTGGCCTAGCCCAGCTGTCATGCGCATTTTTCTTATTTTTTCAGACCGTTTTTTGCAATGTATCCCGTCCCCGCCGGGCGGAGTATTGAGGCGGATGGATGGGTGTGTGGAGCACCCCTGGAAATTATTTAATACTTTTGCAAGACAGTTACCATACAAAACCATACCTTTTGTCATATATCCATATTACTTACTCTAGGGCAATCAGATAATTGTGTCAGTACCTTTCTACACGATCCTGCAGTTGTCCTCCAATAAAATTATCCTAAAGAAATAATGGGTCTTCCATTATTTGTGAGGATTAGGGCTTTGTGTGGGCAAATGCACCTAATATTATCCAGGCCACAAGGTAGAAACCCCCAAGAATAAGGAGGGAAAGGAGACAACAGCAACAACATTTTGGAAACTGTAAAGCAAACAGGAATAGTAACTGGTTTAGCAAACCTGAGAAAATGGATTCCTAAAAAAAGATTAACAAGAGCATGAATATAGCTTTGGAAAACCTTCTCTAGGGAATCTCACCAGCCCAGGAGAAAAATCCCAAAGATACTCTCATGAGGATTTTCTTAATGAAATAGACAATGAATCCTACTATTAAGCCCTTGACTTTTATACCGCAGCCCTCACACACTTTCCAAACAGCTTTTTAATGTCCTTACTTAACCATAAGCAGACAGCCAAGCATCACAAGATATTTAAGAAAAGTCTTTAATATACAAGAAAGAAACCCAGAAAACAAGAAAGAAAAAAGCAAATTAGAGGAAACAGATATTGCAAAGGAGAAAAAAAGACTAAAAATAAAAAAGAAAAGTTCAAATATGTCATCAATATATTCAGAAAAAATAATACAGTGAATTTATAAAGTAACAATGAAAAGCTATTTTTAAAGTAACTCCTATTCAGATAAGCAAAAAGAACTCTTGAATATCAAAACCACAATAAGAGAAAAATTCAAGAGCAAGAATATAGAGAATAAAATTTGTTCTACTTTAAGATAAAATTGATAAAAATTAGAGGATCAGTTCAGAAGGTTAAACATCTAAATAACAAGAATGCCAGAAAGCAAACAGAGAATTGAAGGGAAGAAATAAGTAATTTATAAGTAGATTGGTAGCCTTCCATGGTGACTCATGCCTGAAATCCCAGCCACTCTGTAGACTGAGGCAGGAGCATACCAAGTTTGAGGCCAGCCCCTGTATCTTAGCGAGATCCTATCTCAAAAAAAAAAAAAAAAATATATATATATATATATATGGACTGGGAATGTAAGTCAGTGGTAGAGTGCTTTTGAGTCCAATTCCCAGTATCTATAAAATAAAATATAATAATAAATGTCTTTCCCTGAAGAAATGAGTCTCCAAAGGCAAACTAGGTATCCAGCATATCAAATCAATCCCATTCCAAGTCACATCATTATAGAATTTCAGAACACAAGAAGACAGAAAAAATTTTAAAAGCTTACAGAGAAAAAGATCAAGTTGCAGAAACAGATCAAAAGTCAGAATAGCAGTAAGCATATCAACTCATCAATACTGGGATCTAGAAGATGATAGAAATTGCCTTCAAATTTTTGAGGAAAATTATCTTCAACCTGGAATCCTACACTGAGCCAAACTATGGGTTAATTGTAAGCTAGACTACTGCAGATATGCAATATGTCTCAAAATATTAATATTCCATGCATTGTTTTTCAGAAAGATTGGAGAGGATTTATTACATCAAGACAAATTAGCAAACGAAAAAAGAGAATAAGGAGGGAAAGGAGACAACAGCAACAACATTTTGGAAACTGTAAAGCAAACAGGAATAGTAACTAGTTTAGCAAACCTGAGAAAATGGATTCCTAAAAAAAGTTATCCAAGAATCAGGATCCAAAAGAGATACAAAAGAAATCTCCAAACCAGGAATGGTGACTCACAGCTGTAATCCCAGCTGCTGGGAAGGCTGAGGCAGGAGGGGATCCAAGTTCACAGCCAGCCTCAGCAACTTAGTGAGGCACAAAGCAACTCAGTGAGACCCTGTCTCTAATAAAATATAACAAAGGGCTGGGAACGTGACTCCTTGGTTAGGCACCCCTGGGTTCAATCCCCCCACTAACCCCCTGCCCCATACAAAAATAGAAAGAAAGAAAGAAAAAAGAAAAACAAAAGAAATCCCCAGTGCAATGATGAAAGTAGATATCAAAATGTACTACAGAACTAGATATCAACTCATCAAAATTAGAGCAGTTCAGAAAGGTTTGGAAGTGCTTTCTTTAAGAAAATAAAATTGATAGGATACCTATTGCATTACAACTTATAGAGAAGAAATTTGCCTAATCAGAAGACAGTTCAGAGACATATTGGTGATAGGTAGGTAGAAAACTAAGGAGGGAGAAACTGTGAAGAAAATAAAAAGGTTGGGTTGGAAAAACAACAGAATTATGTTTTCTTTGATGTGGTGGGTGTTTCTGAAATAACTAAAAATTATAGGAAAATGGAAATTTCTTCTGAAAAGCATACAAGAATCCAAAAAGAAAGTAAATAATTAATGGGTCACAATCTCAATGAAGTCAGGAAACTAGAGGTATTCAAAACAATGCAGTCATATTTAGCAGGGTAGATGATGAACTTTGCTTACCTGTCTGTGTTATAGAGGAAAGGATGAAAGAGCCACTTGAGCTGCAAAATTTAAGAGATCCTCCCTGCTGGGAACCTTCCCTCCCCTCTGCATTCTCAGGGATCTTCAAGAAAAATTGCCTTGGTATCCAATGGAGAATGGTGGTATTAATAACCACAGTAGGTCCTTAAAGAAACTTGAAGGGGGATAGGGTTATAGCTCAGCGGTAGAGTTCTTTTAGCATGTGTGAGGCACTAGGTTCAAGTCTCAGCATTGCATATTTTTAAAATTTTTTAAGTCTAATTTGTTATATATGACGGCAGAATGCATTACAATTCATATTATACATATAGAGCACAATTTTTCATATCTCTGGTTGTATACAAAGTATATTCACACCATTCATGTCTTCACACATGTACTTTGGATAATGATGAACATCATATTCCACCATCATTTCTAACCCCATGTCCCCTCCCTTTCCCTCTCACCCCTCTGCCCTATCTAGAGTTCCTCTATTTATCCCATGCTCCCCCTCCCTACCCCACTATGAATCAGCCTCCTTATATCAGAGAAAACATTCGACATTTGTTTTGGGGGATTGGCTAGCTTCACTTAGCATTATATTCTCCAACCCCATCCATTTACCTGCAAATGCAATGATTTTATTCTCTTTTATTGCTGAGTAATATTCCACTGTGTATATATAATATACATTTTTTTCCATTCATCTACTAAAGGGCATCTAGGTTGGTTCCACAATTTAGCTATTATGAATTGTGCTGCTATAAATATTGATGTCAGCACTGCATATTAATAAAATAAAATAAAGGTTTACTGATAACTAAAAAAAAATTAAAAAACAAACTTGAAATCTGAATTTGTGTGTGTATGGTGCTGGGGATTGAATGGAAGGCCTTGTGCATGTGAGGCAAACACTCTACCAACTGAGCTATATCCCCAGACCATAATCTGATTTTATTTATTTATTTTTTATTTTACTGGAGTCCTATTTATTTATTTATTTATTATTGGTTGTTCAAAACATTACAAAGCTCTTGACATATCATATTTCATACATTTTACTCAAGTGGGTTATGAACTCCCTTTTTTACCCCGTATACAGTTTGCAGAATCACATCGGTTATACATCCACATTTTTTCATAGTGCCATACTAGTGACTGTTGTATTCTGCTGTCTTTCCTATCCTCTACTATCCCCCATCCCCTCCCCTCCCCTCCCATCTTCTCTTTCTACCCCATCTACTGTAATTCATTTCTCTCCCTTGTTTTTTTCCCTTTCCCCTCACTTCCTCTTATATGTAATTTTGTATAACAATGAGGGTCTCCTTCCATTTCCATGCAATTTCCCTTCTCTCTCCCTTTCCCTCCCACCTCTCGTCCCTGTTTAATGTTAATCTTTTTCTCATGCTCTTCCTCCCTGTTCTGTTGTTAGTTGCTCTCCTTATATCAAAGAAGACATTTGGCATTTGTTTTTTAGGGATTGGCTAGCTTCACTTAGCATGATCTGCTCTAATGCCATCCATTTCCCTGCAAATGCCATGATTTTGTCATTTTTTAGTGCTGAGTAATACTCCATTGTGTATAAATGCCACATTTTTTTTATCCATTCATCTATTGAAGGGCATCTAGGTTGTTCCACAGTCTTGCTATTGTGAATTGTGCTGCTATGAACATCGATGTAGCAGTATCCCTATAGTACACTCTTTTAAGGTCTTCAGGGAATAGTCCAAGAAGAGGAATAGCTGGGTCAAATGGTGGTTCCATTCCCAGCTTTCCCAGGAATCTCCATACTGCTTTCCAAATTGGCTGCACCAATTTGCAGTCCCACCAGCAATGTACAAGTGTACACTTTTCCCCACATCCTCGCCAGCACTTGTTGTTGTTTGACTTCATAATGGCTGCCAATCTTCATAATCTGATTTTAAAAACAAAAAACAAACAAAATCTCAGTCTGTGAATCGAGTTTAAGGTGATTCTGCAGAGGAACGTGGAATGCTCCGAAGCACTTTGCAGAAACAAATGCAAATCTACTCCAGGCAAATGTCCTCTCATCCTAGGTACCAAAGAACTATAAATAATTTTCTAAGGAAAATTATTAACT